TGAGTGCGCACCACGTGCCAAGAGCAGTTCAAAGCCCTTCTCATGAATTATAGAACTTAATCCTCTCAATATCCTAAGGGTGAGGGATTTTAGGCACATTTTATTGATAATGAAATGGAATCACAGACAAGTCCACAACTTGCTCAAGGTGTATTTTATCTTCATCTTTTCTATTCCCAACACTTAGCATGTTACCTGATGTAACAGAAGCTCCGTAGCAACTTAAAGAATGCATAGATGAATTAATTAATGAAACAGTCTCCTCCATAGCAGCATCTGGGTCAGGGATGGTGACCCATCTGTCACATCCGGAGTCCTATGATACCTCATAAAAGTGGTTTAAGTCTTTGGAAAATCCCTCCCCAGCTATGGCCCTTTGAAGCTATCCAGGCATTTCACAGGGGTTAATCTGTTCTAGGTATTCTGTTTTTATTATTAATAACATGAATTACACCTTCCAGATTAGCTTTATGAGGGGTTCACTCAATCCAGCCAAGAGTCCTGACACTACCAGATAAATACCATTGACCAGCCACATACAACAATAAAAATATCGGTGAGATACAATAATATTATTTTTCCATCTTAGAACACACCACACTGAAAACCCTTCCAAACACTGTGTTTCTTATGAGCACTACATACAGTGCTGCTGAGAGCTGTAGAGTGGAGAGGATGCCCCCTGGTCCAAAAGTGTGGACACTTTCATCCTATGAAGGAATCAGTGAAGGGTAAACCATAATAAAATTTTTTAACATCTTTATTGGAGTATAATTGCTTTACAATGGTGTGTTAGTTGCTGCTGTATACAAAGTGAATCAGCTATACATATACATATATCCCCATACCCCTCCCTCCTGCGTCTCCCTCCCACCTTCCTCATCCCACCCCTCTAGGTGGTCACAAAGCACCGAGCTGATCTCCCTGTGCTATGCGGCTGCTTCCCACTAGCTATCTATTTTACATTTGGTAGTGTATATATGTCCATGCCACTCTCTCACTTTGTCCCAGCTTACCCTTCCCCCTCCCCGTGTCCTCAAGTCCATTCTCTACGTCTGTGGCTTTATTCCTGTCCTGCCCCTAGGTTCTTCAGAACCTTTTTTTTTTTAGCTTCCATATATATGTGTTGGCATACGGTATTTGTTTTTCTCTTTCTGACTTACTTCACTCTGTATGACAGACTCTAGGTCCATCCACCTCACTACAAATAACTCAATTTCATTTCTTTTTATGGCTGGGTAATATTCCATTGTATATATGTGCCACATCTTCTTTATCCATTCATCTGTCTATGGACACTTAGGTCGCTTCCATGTCCTGGCTATTGTAAATAGAGCTGCAATGAACATTGTGGTACATGACTCTTTTTGAATTATGGTTCTCTCAGGGTATATGCCCAGTAGTGGGATTGCTGGGTCGTATGGTAGTTCTATTTTTAGTTTTTTAAGGAACCTCCATACCGTTCTCCATAGTGGCTGTAACAATTTACATTCCCACCAACAGTTCAAGAGGGTTCCCCCTTCTCCACACCCTCTCCAGCATTTATTGTTTGTAGATTTTTTGATGATGGCCATTCTGACCGGTGTGAGGTGATACCTCATTGTAGTTTTGATTTGCATTTCTCTAATGATTAGTGATGTTGAGTATCCTTTCATGTGTTTGTTGGCAATCTGTATATCTTCTTTGGAGAAGTGTCTATTTAGGTCTTCTGCCCATTTTTGGATTGGTTTGTTTGTTTTTTTGATATTGAGCAGCATGAGCTGCTTGTATATTTTGGAGATTAATCCTTTGTCAGTTGCTTCATTTGCAAATATTTTCTCTCATTCTGAGGGTTGTCTTTTCATCTTATTTATAAACCATAATAATTTGATTCTTGACTGACACAGGTTCAGCATTTTTAACTGCTTAGCCTACAAAAAACTGTAAGTAAACACCAGTATAAATCCTTATATCAGAGTAGATGGAGATCTTAAAGTATCCCATGTCCAGGATTGATAGTCAATGGGTATAAAGGGAAAAGAGAGGAAATGCTTTCTGTTAAAGAGCAAAGAACTCCAATGCCTTTTGACTCTCCTAAAATTCTGGAAAGTGTTGAACATAAAGCAAATATTTAAGAGAGAGTTAAGCTTATGCTAAAGTAAACACTACTTCAAGGGCTGTAGACTCATTGGGCGAGGCAGGGTAGAGCCAGGCAGACCTCACTTTGAATCCCAGCTCTGTCATGTTGGTGGTTGGAAAGTTACTCAACCTCTTTTAGCATCAGTTCTCTACCTGTAAAATGGGTATAATTATACCAACTTAGAAGGTTGTTGGAGAGATTAAATGAGATGATGGGTAGAAGAGGCCTAGCTCATAACGGGTGCCTACTAAAGAGTATATGTTTTAATTGTTATAAAAATGATCTCAAGGGCATGCGCGCACACACACACACACACCCTCATTTCACAGAGAAATCTTCGAGGTCAAAGGATGGGTCTTAACAGCAACACCAGAACTAGAATCTCTACCCTCCTCCATTCTGTCCTTCATTCTGGCCACTGAATTCTTTCATAAAGGAGAAGGCCAAAGAATGAACAATAGAGAAATACGGAATTAATAAATAAATGCATGAATAAGCTCAGATGTCTCATGGCATCACCAGTGTTATAGATTTAGTTTGATAGCTTATCCCAAAAGCATTTCTCTATTGGGTAGTAATTAGATGTAAAGCCATGCAGAGGCTACACATGGATGCAAAGATAATAAGATATGATCCTTTTCCTCAAGATCTCATTGTCTAAGGAAAGAAAATTCAGGCACAAGTCCAGATTCAATTCAGACCACCTTTTAGGTTATTACATGTATTGCAACTAAATAAAAAGGATCTCACCACATATCACCACAACATGTATAATAAGTTCCTTACTGAAAATTACTCCCGAATTATTTCCTCCATTCTCTGCGCCTTTATGAGCCTTCAACCTGGCACAGATTAGTGACAGATTGGTAGCATTTTACCATGAAAGGAGAAAAAAAACAAACAAACAAACAAACAAAAAAAACAAACAGACAAGGCCATCTAAGAAAGAGGGATATGAAACACTGCCCCCTGAACCTTTAGAATTGTAAGGTTTTATTTTTTATTTATTTATTTATTTTTTGGCGCTACGCGGGCCTCTCACTCTTGTGGCCTCTCCTGTTGCGGAGCACAGGCTCTGGACACGCAGGCTCAGCGGCCATGGCTCACGGGCCCAGCCGCTCCGCGGCATGTGGGATTTTCCCGGACCGGGGCACGAACCCGTGTCCCCTGCATTGGCAGGCGGACTCTCAACCACGGCGCCACCAGGGAAGCCCAGATTTTATTTTTTAATAAAAACTGTAGGATATAGGTATGAAACCATATGTATTCCAGGAAAAAAATGTATATTTCTATTAATCTAAGAGTCAAGTCAGATTATAGAAACTAATTTAAAAGACTACAACTACTGGGAAGGGGCCAGATCATAAGCAGCCTCAGAATTCCCCTACCCTATCAGTGTAGCTGGAAATAGATAAATAAATAAGCCAGCCCAGACTTGTGAATCCTACAGAATCCTAATTTGTAGTAGCCATTAGAATTTTTTTTTAGCCATTAGAATTTAATGCTGGTGGGACTTCCCTGGTGGTGCAGTGGTTAAGAATCCACCTGCCAATGCAGGGAACACAGGTTCAATCCCTGGTCCGGGAAGATCCCACATGCCACAGGGCAACTAAGCCCGGGTGCCACAACTACTGGAGCACACATGCCACAACTACTGAAGCCCGTGCGCCTAGAGCCCGTGCTCCGCCACGAGATAAGCCACCGCAATGAGAAGCCCGCACACCACAACAAAGAGTAGCCCCCCCTCGCTGCAACTAGAGAAAGCCCGTGCATAGCAACAAGACCCAACGCAGCCAAAAATATAATTAATTAATTTTTAAAAGAAAAGAATTTAATGCTGGTAATCCCAGAGCCAGAAGGAATTGTGAAAGCTGCCTTTTCCATCCCTCTGTCTTCCAAACTTTAGAACCCACAGAAAGATGGGACTCTCCCTTGCCTCCATAAACGTCACCGCCCCCCACCACTACTCCTCGTGGCTCAGGAGGGCATGTAGATTGGAGGCCGCCATCCTGCCTCACCTCCAAGGTGAAGCCCATCTGCTGGGCTCTAAACCACTTCCCTTCCCTCTTCCCAGGACTCGGTCCTCTCCACCTTTCGCTCACTTCTCAAGCCTCCTGTTTCGCTTCCTCCTGTCATGCCACCTTAGATGACTCCCTGTCTCCCACATCCCTTCCCAGCCTCACATCACCCCTGCCAAGATCGCCCCACCCCTTCCTCTGCCTTGTTTCTGTAGGCGGGGGCCCAAAGTTCTCTGCCTCCATTTTTTATGCACATTTTTTCCTTAATATCCAAGGCATGGAAGGGCTTTAGTACAGTGCCTGACACACAGTAAGTGTTCAAAAATAGCAACCTTGATTATCCCTGTTACTGTTATCCTTATTATTTCATCCTCACAAATCCACCAAAGCCTCTTTCAAGTCACTAACACCCTACCCATCCCACAGCTGGTGCCCTTTTCTCTGCTCCATTCTCATCCACCTTCGACAGGTTCATACATCCCTACTCGTTTAAAATTCTCTCTTTCTTTGGTTTCTGGGCCACCCTCTTACCCCAGCATCTCACACAGATTTAAAAGTTAATCAGCATATATAAGTGGCCTTGAATCTGAAAATCCAAAGCCCTTTGCCGGCTGCTGCCTCTGGCCACCACATGCAAAAGCAGATGATACAAAACACAGCCTGCTCCTACGTTGTACATGTGACCCCTCTTCCCCCACATTGTCACGGGTCTCCACTCAAGTGTCACCTCCCAGAGAGGACCTCCCTGACCATCAGTAGCATCTCAACCAACGGCAAAGCTCAGTGAGCCAGAAAGACAAAACCAATGTCACACTCTCCCCCCGACCCAAGGTGATTCTACTGTTGACTCACTCCTTGCTCACCTGAATCAATGTCTCCAGCTCCTGTGGGCTCACACAGACATGATCCCGCAGGAATTCTGCCTTCTCCATGGCAATAGTGTTCTTTTGGCTGCTCTCAAAGGGCTGTTCCAATGCCCGGAAGACGAGACCGCCCGTGACGAGGTAGACCACCACGACCACGAAGATGGCAACCACTGTTTTACACTTCATGACGGTCTGCAGGGCCCCTTGGGAGGCACCTTCCATTCTGGCTACCACCGTGGCTCGGGAGGAGATGGAGAGGCGTGGGGCCGTGTAATGCCCGTTAGTGGTGCCCTTGGGCTGGCACACCGGGGGCGCTGCTGCAGGAACGGCCACTGAGAAACGGGGTGGGTGAGAGGGGAAAAGAGAATTTGTTTATAAACACAAAGCCCAAAACTTGTCGGAAACAAAGCACAGATGTCTTTCTCAAGCCAGCTTTCAAATGTGAGGATTAAAAACTGGTTCACCAAGCCTGCAGTGAGGGAATTCAATCAGTTGCTAGGTGTCTGTTGAATTCTAAAACAGTGAGCACCAGGTGTTCTAGTTTTCACACAAAAAAATAATATTAATTGAGTCTGAAATGTTTATATTTCTCTACAAGGGTCCAAATTTGAAAGCCATGTCTCTGTTATTTCTCATTCATTTTCTCCCTTAGTTTCCTTGTTAAGTGATGTGTAAGACACGCAACAAACCATGATATTTTAAAAAGAGACATATTATGCAATTTGGAGAAGAAAAGGTAGGAGAAGGATACCCAGCAGAATTGTCCAAGTGCTGAGGGCTAGGTAATACCAAGAGTATAGAAGAGATGAGCATCTAGCAAGTTTAAAAGTTCTTTTATCCAGGTCTATGGTCACAAAACAAAAGAAGGGTGAGTTTGCTATAATGAAGAGTCAAAAACCAAACACAGTGACACTCAGATCAAGATAGACAGGCAGGAGGACATGGAATTCACCTCCCCCCACAAACACATCAAAAATACATCTACAGGTTGAGACCTGTGTCCTTGGGAGGGGACTCAGAGGAGAAGGGAGATTTCATGGGTGGAGACACTCCCTGGGACGTGAGTGGTTCAAGCCACATATTGGGTGCCCCAACCCTGGGGTCCTACAAAAAGAAGATGACCCCCTGGACGGCTGGTGGGACTAACAGGAGGGTTGTGGGAAGCCTGGACTCCACTCAGGAGGAGTGTGCTTGTGCTGGCTTGCTCCTGAAGCAGGGACGAGAGGGCAAATTGAAATCAAGCAGGTGGCTGGCTGGTTTCCCATGACTTCCCCAGTGTATACACCAGCCTGATCCAAGTGAACATTCCAGCCTTGTTTGCCTCCCATCACAGCTCCACACTGGAATAAGCTGCCATGACCAAGGAGAGACCTTAGTCGTGAGACACTGAGGTAGCTCAAACCTGAAGCAACATCTGAGAAGGGCAGAGGCAGCCGTTGCTTCACTTATACAAGTGGCACATCAGAGGCAGTCCAGATCTCTGATGGTGGCTGGACCGCCACGGACTGTACCCCAGCCCTCACTGAGTGCCTGTGCTAGCTCCTCTTGCTCCAGTACTGTTCTACTCTGGAGTGAGGGTGCCAGTGCTGGGAAGGGGAGAGCACATACTTGAAGGGAACTGAGCCGGTTTGGAAGCCCAACTCTCACGGCTTCTGCTCTAGCAACTTGGAACCTGACCCTGCTCCCCCACTGGGTGATCATGGACACTTAGCACAGAAGCTTCAGCTCACACCTGCTCCAGCCCTAGTCTCTCCATCTCCATCCCCACCTCCTACCAAGATAATAGCTGTCAGCACAACCTGAGGAAAGATATGGCTTGCGTTCACATCAAATCCAGCTCTCCCACCAAAGCCACTGGCAGACTCAGACTGTAAAGGAATGCTCCAACATAAGGAGCAATGGGTAACTTTTACCTAATTTCATAGAGACAGAGAAAGATAAGGAAAATGAGAAGACAGAGGAATTTTCTCAATTGAAAGAGCAAGAGAAAACCCCTGAAAAAATAATTAATGAAATCAAAATAAACAAGTTACCAAATGAAGAATTCAAAGCATTAGTAATAAGAATACTAACTGAATTAGGTAAAAGAATAGATGAGAATTTTAACAAGGAACTAAAAAATGTAAAATAAAGAACCAGTCAGAACCAAAGAATACAATAACTGAAATGAAAAACACACTAGAAGGAATTAACAGCAGATGAGGTGACACAGAAGAACATAGAAGGGATCTGGAAGATAGAATAACAGAAATCACCCAATCAGAACAGCAAAAAGAAAAATAAATTTAAAAAGTAGAACCGTTTAAGAGATCTCTAGGATAACATCAAGTGTACCAACATGCACATCATAGGGGGCCCAGAAGGAGAGAGAAGGGGGTTGAAGATATATTTTATGAAATTATGACTGAAATCTTCCCAAATCTGAAGAAGGAAACAGATATCCAACTCCAGGAAGAACAGAGAGTCTCAAACAAGATGAACCCAAACAGACCCACACCAAAAGGTAGAGAGAATTCTAAAGGCAGCAAGAGAAAAACAAAGAGTCATATACGAGGTATCCCCCAGAAGGCTATCAGCTGATTTTTCTGCAGAAACTTTGCAAAAGCCAGAAGGGGTATCATGATATATTTAAAGTGCTGAAAGGGAAAAACCTGCAACCTAGAACACTCTATCCAGCAAGATTATCAATTAGAATTGAAGGAGAGATAAAGAACTTCCCAGATAAGCAAAAACTAAAAGAGTTCATCAATACAAACCAGCCCTAAAAGAAATGTTAAAGGGTCTTCTCTAAGTGGAAAAGAAAAGGCTACAAGAAGAAGTATCTATAGGAAAGGAAAAATCCCACTAGTAAAGGAAAATATACAGTAAAGGCTGAGGATAAACTGCTTAAATAAGCTAGTACAAAGATTAAAAGACAAAAAAGTTGTAAAATCAAGTATAACTACAATAATCAGTAAAGGGATAAACATGAAGATGAAAAATATTACATCAAAAATAAAATATGTGGGAGAAATAAAAAATGTAGATCTTTTAGAATGTGTTTGAACTTGAAGAACTACCTGTTTAAAACAAATAGATGGGCTTCCCTGGTGGCGCAGTGGTTGAGAGCCCGCCTGCCGATGCAGGGGACACGGGTTCGTGCCCCAGTCCGGGAAGATCCCACATGCTTCGGAGCGGCTGGGCCTGTGAGCCATGGCCACTGAGCCTGCGTGTCTGGAGCCTGTGCTCCGCAACGGGAGAGGCCACAACAGTGAGAGGCCCGCATACCGCAAAAAAACAAACAAACAAACAAAAACAAATAGATACAGGTCAACACATATGAACCCCATGGTATCCACAAGTCAAAACCTACAACAGATACACAAAAACAAGAGAGAAAAGCATACCACTAAAGAAAATCATCAAATAAGTGAAGGAACTAAAAGAAGAAGAAAAGAACAAGGAAGAACTATAAATACAACCAGAAAACAAATAACAAAACGACAATAAGTACACACCTATCAATAATTACTTTAAATGTCAATGGACTAACTGTTCCAATCAAGACACAGGGTGGCTGATTGGATAAGAAAACAAGACTTACCTATATGCTTCTTACAAAGAGACTCACTTCAGAACTAAATACACACAAAGACTGAAAGTGAGGGCATGGAAAAAGATATTTCATGCTAATGGCAACGACAAGAAAGCAGAGGTAGCAATACTCACATCAGACAAAATAGACTTTAGAAGTCTGTAACAAAAGACAGAGAAGGGCATTATATATTGATAAAGGGATCAATACAAGAAGAGGATATTACATTCATTAACATGTATGCACCCAATACAAGAGTACCTAAATATATAAAGCAAATATTAACAGACATAAAGAGAGAAATTGACAACAATACAATAACATAGGGGACTTTAACACCTCACTTACATCTATATACAGATCATCTAGATAGGAAATCAACAAGGCAACAGTGGTCTTAAATGACACAATACCAGTTGGGCTTAATAGATATATATATATACAGGACATTCCATCCCAAAACAGCAGAATACACGTTCTTTTAAAGTGCACACAGAATGTTCTCCAGGATAGGTCACATGCCAGGCCACAAAACAAGTCTCAACAAATTTAAGAAGATAGAAATTATATCAAGCATTTTTTCCAACCACAGAAGTATGAAACTAGAAATCAGCTACAGAAAGAAAAATGGGGAAAGCACAAATCCACAGAGACTAAACAACATGCTACTAAAAAAACTAATGAGTCAACAAAGAAATCAAAAAGGAAATCAGAAAAAAACCCTGAACAAATGAAAATGAAAACACAACTTTCCAAAATCTATGGGATGCAGCAAAAGCAGTTCTAAGAGGGAAGTTTATAGCAATACAGGCCTCAAGAAACAAGAAAAATCTCAAATAAACAACCTAACCTTCCATCTAAAGAAATTAGAGGGCTTCCCTGGTGGTGCAGTGGTTGAGAGTCCGCCTGCCAATGCAGGGGACGCGGGTTTGTGCCCCGGTCCAGGAAGATCCCACATGCCGCGGAGCGGCTGGGCCCGTGGGCCATGGCCGCTGAGCCTGCGTGTCCAGAGCCTGTGCTCCGCAACGGGAAAAAAAAAAAAAGAAAGAGGCCCGTGAACAAAAAAAAAAAAAAAAAAAAAAGAAATTAGAAAAAGCAGAACAAACAAAGCCCAAAGTCAGCAGAAGGAAGGAAATAATAAAGATCAGAGAGGAAATAAATAAAATAGATACCAAAAAGTAATAGAAAAAGCAATGAAACCAAGAGTTGGTTTTTTGAAAAAGTAAACAAAATTGATAAACCTTTAGCTAGGCTCATTAAGAAGAAAAGAGAGAAGACCCAAATAAACAAAGTAAGAAATGAAAGAGGAGAAATAACAACTGATACCACAGCGATACAATAAATCATAAAAGAATACTATAAACAGTCATATGCCAACAAATTGGACAACCTAGAGGAAATGGACACATTTCTAGAAATGTACAGCCTGCCAAGACTGAGTCAGGAAAAAAAGACAACATGAACAGATGTAAGATTGAAATTGTAATAAAAAAAATCTCTCAGCAAACCAAAGTCCAGGATGGGATGGCTTCACAGAGGAATTCTACCGAACATATAAATAAGAGCTAACACCTTTCCTTCTCAAAATATTCCCCTCTAAAATTGTAGAGGATGGAACACTCCCAAATTCATTTTATGAGATCACCATTACCCTGACACCAGATAAAGATACAAAAAAAAAGAAGATTACAGGCCAATATCTCTGATGAATATAGACACAAAAATCCTCAACAAAATATTAGCAAATCAAATCCAACA